GATGAGTGCATAGTTAATGTAGAAAAGGCATTAAAGTTTAGGGTGTCAGGACCCACTGGGGGTTTCAGAATGTTATTGGGAGGACTAGTGTAGCAGCCAGAACATAGAGGAGACATTCATTCCTGGAGGGAATTACCTAATCTGGGTAGAAATGAAGCCTTCATTTTTCTGAATTCAGAGTTAGAGTTTGGTAAGCAGGTTTTGCAAGAGGACACCAAAAATTATGAAACTTAAGAGTGAGAAAGGATCTTAGAGGTCATGTAGTAGTTGTATAATTCTAATTCAATGCAGGGCAATAAATTGGTTTATGAAAGTGAAAGGATATCACAGTTGAGTAATAGACTGAAAAATTAATTGCTAAGCTTTTTCTTGAATTTTAAAAGGTTTTTTATGGATACTATTTGAAATTAGTTATAGTAAATTTATAGTGCTTTTCTGTTCTACATGCAGCATCTAATTTGATGCTCAAGCAATGTTTTTACATAAGCTCAGAGTCTATTTTCTAAATTTTACAACAGATTCAAATATATTTGGGGGGGGTGAATAGCCTATGATCAAACATTTGTTAGTTGCGGAATTAGCAGTAATGCTTATACTTTCTGACTTCACATCTCCCAGTCCCAGTCAGGGTACTTTCTAATGCAGTGGTATTTAAGTTTGTTCAGAACTTCGTACATAGGAGACCTCCCAGAAGATGTTTTTGCTGTGTTGTCCAATCACCTTCCCCAGTGATCCTGTGATGGAGCCACCGAGACTCCTAGACACGTGGTCATCTCCATGCTGGCCAGGGAAGGGGAGGGCTTTATTGGAATCCAAGCCCATGACCTTTCCACCTCACTAGTGTGGCCTTGCTGTTGTCTTCAGTCTGTGAAAAGTATTCTCTCAAAGGACAGTGAGTGTGTGGCCTTCCCCTATGGGAAAGACGGGATTAATTGTTAAAACAGCTTAAAAAGCAGTGGACTTTGAGACACTAGATATAAATAAGTAGTTCTACCTCTATGCTTAATGAAAATGCGTTTCTTATTTCAATGGCATGAATTTCTACTCTTTTTTGTTTAAGATTTGTTTTGTTTATTTGAAAGGGAGAAAGAGGTATTTCATGCACTGTTTCACTCCCCATTTGGCTGCAACAGCCTGGGCTTAGACCAAAACTAGGACCCTGGAGCTCCATCCAGTTTTCCCCTGTGGGTGGCAGGGGCCCAAGTACAATGCTTTCCAAGGCATATTAGCAAGGAGTTAGATGGGAACTGGAATAGCCAGGACTTGAACCAGTACTGATATGGGACACCAGCATTACAGGTATTGGCTGCACTGTAATGCTGGCCCCACTTTTTACTCTACATTTTAGATCAATGCATAACAACACATATCAGTACACAATAATGTAAGGAAACTTGCTGATAGGAAGAAGGAAGGACAGGGTTTTGATGTCTGGTCAGAAATATAAAAAGCTCCTCCCTTTACACTACTCTCTCATGCCTTTTCCAAATCGCCTTCATACTGCAGCTTCATTTTTTCCCTCTTACATTGTTTCCATTCCTTTAACACTTCAGGTTAGTGTTTCAAGCTGAATATTTGTTTCAAGTACTTGTGAACAAAGTGCCTTAATTTGTGTGATCTCTGTCATTTGGAAATTTACTTTATACAAGGAGAAATAAAATACAAAAATGCATGTTTGGTGGATGCATAAAGAACTATCTTAATCTTTAAAAAGGTACAACAATTGTGAGAAATAATGACTGGAATATGCTGCTTTTCTTAAGATTTATTAATTTATTTGAAAGTCGGAGTTACACAAAGAGAGAAGGAGAGGCAGAGGCAGAGAGGTCTTCCATCTGCTGGTTCACTCCCCACTTGGCTGTAATGGCCAGAGCTCCGCTGATCCAAAGCCAGGAGCCAGGAGCTTCTTCTGAGTCTCCCATGTGGGTGCAGTGGCCCAAGGGCTTGGGCCATTTTTGCTGCTTTCCCAGGCCATTGCAGAGAGCTGGATTGGAAGTGGAGCAGCCGGGATCTGAAACGACGCCCATATGGGATGCCGGCAATACAGGTGACAGCTTTACCTGCTACACCACAGTGCCAGCCTCTGGAATGTGTTTCTATGTTTAAAATACTCCATTTTCAAAGACCTAATCTATCAATCTATTTAGATTATTAAAAACATGTTTTTTTCTGTGTTATGAAAAATTCTATGAAGTCACATTTTTAAATTATATGCCTCAGATTTTGGCTTTCTATTGTGAATTTAAATAATTCACCATTAAATGAGGAGCTTAAGTTCTGACAATGAACTCACAACCTGAAATTCAGATATTCCTTACCTGTTCCTTATTTCTATTTGAAAACCATAGGACAATCAATTCTTTGATCTCTGTGTATCTAGCACAGGGTTCATAGGTTTCCCACCGTGAATCCTGGTTTCTAGGGGTAAAGTCTCAGGAAATTTCCTGGATCAGCGTCTTGCTCTGCCATTTCCTAGTAGGTCGATGGTTGTCTAATTCATGTCACCTACCTGGGCTTCAATTTTCTCTTCTGTAAAATAGGATTACGGATAAAACCCAATTGATAGGCTTATTACAAAGATTGAATGCGTAAGCTTTTTATTTTAATAAAGAATAAAATTTAAGCTCATTAGCCTAATTTTCCAGACTTTTTAGCATCTAGTTTAAAGGCACTCTGTGAAGCGTGTCTTCTTCCTTAAAGCTGTATGCGCTCTGCTTAGCCTGGAACGTGTCTGTAATTTCTGAGCACTTCCGTCGGCTCCCACTTCCACACTCTGTAGCTGCTACTCTTGAACTAGAAAGAACATCTTGTACCTGCTTCCCAATTTTCAGGAGATAGTAAATTCTCAAAGAATAAGAATTGTCCAGTCTGATAAAAAGTTGATTGCTACTTCCCACACACTCAGTGTGAGGCTATGAATTTAAGGCATTGGTCCTTGGACCAACTGGCAGAGGGCCACAAGCCAAAAAGAAATTAGATTCTGAATTTCTTTTTTTTTTTTTTTTAAGATTTATTTATTTATTTGAAAATCAGAGTTACAGAGAGAAGGAGAGGCAGTGAGAGAGAGAGGTCTTCCATCCGCTGGTTCACTCCTCAGTTGGTCACAACAGCTGGAGTTGTGCTGGTCCGAAGCCAGGAGCCAGGTGCTTCTCCTGGTCTCCCATGGGGTACAGGGCCCAAGTACTTGGGCCATCCTCCACTGCACTCCCTGGCCACAGCAGAGAGCTGGCCTGGAAGAGGGGCAACCGGGACAGAATCCGGCGCCCCGACTGGGACTAGAACCTGGTGTGCCGGTGTTGCAAGGCGGAGGATTAGCCTAGTGAGCCGCAGCGCCGGCCCCTTAGGAAAGTCTTAATAAATGTTTTATGCTTACTCTGTTACAATTGTTGCTATCCCATGGTCACTGTAAAGTTTAAGTCATAGTTTTAGAAGTTTTACTTTTTTAGAAGAAAACTGCAAGCTCATATAACAAGAATTCTCAGCAGCTAAGATTGACAGCTGAACTACTGAGGGACTTTAGAAGTCAGGCTGATGTGAGTCCACATCAGTCTGTGGCTCCTTCTAGATTTGTGACAGTTTTGGTTTCTGTAACTATAAAATGGAGTGTTGGGGAACGACTCTGTCGAAGGTAGAGTGAGTCCTTGCCTATAAAGTCAAATCCCTGCTTCCCAATGAGCATGTAGGACAAATTACCTATTGTTAATCATGATTTTACTAGTTTTGTTAATTCTGAGTAGAAATGAAAATTTATCACTCGAGATTGCTCATCTGCAATGTGGTATACAGTGGTGCACAATAAAGAAAACTTATCTGATCTTTGCTAGACATTTTGATTTCTTTAGATTTAGCCTGATAGTACTCCAAATGATTCGAAAGGCAATTGAATAATTGTATACTTTTACGAAATGTTCATGGTTTGCAACAAGTTCTATGAGAATATATATATATATATATATATATTCCAAATGCCCCTCTTCACCCATCACAGTCATTGTATTACAGACGCTGTGAACATTTTTATAAATGGATATGACGTGTGACAAATAGTGTATACATTATAAGTTATCTTTACCTTAACAAGTGAAGTATAAGATGTACTGTTTGGTTAATATAATAAATACAGTAGCTGATTTTATGGATTAAGGTGCAAACAGTTTATATGTTCACTTGCTTTGTTTCCTGAATTCCCTTTGCACCATCATTGCAAGAATACTCTACATGTCTGGGCTATGTAGATCGTATTGGTTGATTAAATTTTCAAGATTTTGGGATTGTATATAATACTGTCATAAACATAATTTTTTATTTTTTTAACTTTTATTTAATAAATATGCCGTAAGCATAATTTTTTTATTTTTTAACTTTTATTTAATAAATATAAATTTCCAAAGTACAGTTTATGAATTACAATGGCTTTTTCCCCCCATAAGTTCTTTTTTTTTCATTTAATAAATGTGGATTTACAAAGTGCAACTTTTGTATTGTTGTGGCTCCACCCACCAACCTCCCTCCCTCCCACGGCCCTCCCCTCTCCCACTCCCTCTCCCATCCCGCCCTTCATCGAGTTTCATTTTCAATCACCTTCATATACAGAAGATCAACTTAGTATACACTAAGCAAGGATTTCAACAGGCTGCACTCACACAACCGCACAAGGTATAGGACATTGTTTGACTAGTAGTGTTGTTTTTAAGTTTCATAGTAAATACACATTAAGGACAGAGATCCTACGTGGGGAGCATGTACCCAGTGACTCCCGTTGTTGATTTAACAATTGGCACTCTTATTTATGACATCAGCAATCACCCAAGACTCTTGCTGTGAGCTGTCTAGGCTATGGAAGCCCCTTGAGTTCACCAACTCTGAACTTGTTTAGTCAAGGCCGTATCACAGTGGAGGTTCCTTCCTCCCTTCAGAGAAAGGCGCCACCCTCCTTGATGGCCTGTTCCTTCGTAAGCATAATTTTTAAATATTGAACTTTAGCTATTAATATAATTGTAAATAGAAATGCCTAAGAGAGTTTGAGAGATTCTTTGCCTTTTTCAAAAGTATTATCTAAAAATCTGAGTTTTAGGATGGCATCTTCTCTATTAAACAGATTAAAAATGTCTTTGCAAGAATAGTTTATGTTTCTATTTGATGTGCACAAGGTGAAAAGCCACAATTGCTATTACAGTCTTCATTTGTTAATGTAATACAGCAACCTGAATCCTTATATGATATTTTGAACATCTGTCACTTTCATTATCGGATCATCTGAAAAGACAACCTGTCAGAACAGAAGCATTCTACTGTGTTATAGTTATGCCATACATGATGATGAAAATGTCATACCATTCTTCCAAAAATTGTGGTAATGAATTTAATTGGAATGAACATGTTGCCTCCAAGACGCTTTTTTATATTTTATTTAAGGTAAAGAAATTTCATTTATTTGATATATACAAATAAAGAACATGTGATACTTCTCACCCCTACCCTCCCTCCCACCCGCACTCTGACCCTTCCTCCTCCTTCCTTATTCCCTGTCTTAATTTTTACAGTGATCTACATTAAGTTTACTTTGAAATGATAAGATTAATCCTCTACCAACTAAAGAGTTCAACAAACACTAAGAAGAAAAAAACACTGTTCCCAAGAGTATAGAGAAGGGCTGTAAACAACCATCAAATCTCAATATGTCACTTTCACTCTAATACATTCACATTTTTGGTATTCTATTAGTTACCACAGATTAGGGAAAAAACACGGTATTTGTCTTTTGGGGACTGGCTTATTTCACTAAGTATAATGGTTTCCAGTTGCATCCATTTTGTTACAAAAGACAGGAATTCATTCTTTCTGATGGGTGAGTAGTATTCCATATTGAACATACACCATGAGTTCTTTTTTCAGTCATCTGTTGATGACAGTTGGATTGAGTCCATATCTTAGCTGTTGTCAGTTGAGCTGCAGTGAACATGGGGGTACAGATAACTGTTTGATATGCTGATTTCATTTCATTTGGGTAAATTCCCAGGAGTGAGATTATTGGGTCATGTGGTATATCTGTTTTCAGCTCTGAGGTATCCCCAGTCTGTCTTCCACAGTGACAGTGCTAGTTTACATTCTGACCAACAGTGGATTGGGGTACCTTTTCCTCCACATCCTCACAAGCATTTATTGTTTGTTGATTTCTGTATGAGAGGCATTCCCACATGATTGAGGTGGGTTTTTTAATTTGCATTTCCCTGCTGACTAGTGATCCTGAGCATTTTTTCATGTGTGTATTGGCCATTTGAATTTCCTGTTTGGAAAAATGCCTGTTCAAGTCCTCTGCCCATTTCTTAACTGGATGGTTTTGTTGTTAAGTTTCTTGAGCTCTCTATAGATTCTGGATATTAATTCCTTATCAGTTGAATAGTTTGCAAATATTTTCTCCAGTTCTTTCTGTTGCCTCTTCACTTTGCTGAATGTTTCCGTTGCAGTGCAGAAGCTTTTCAGCTTGGTGCAATCCCATTTGTCTATTTTGATTTTGATTGCCTATGCTTCAGGGTCTTCTCCAGAAGTCTTTGCCTATGCCAATTTCTTGCAGTTTCCCCAATGTTCTCCTCTAGTAATTTTATGGTATCAAGTCGTAGATTCATATCCTTTATCCATTTTTAGTTGATTTTTGTATAAGGAAATGGTCTTATTTCATGCTTCTGCATGTGGAGATCCAGTTTTTCCAGCACCATTTTTTGAAGAGACTGTCCATTCTTCAGGGATTAATTATAGCATATTTGTTAAAGATTAGTTGCTTGTAGATGTGTGGATTATTTTCTGGAGTTTCTATTCTGTTCCATTGGTCTACATGTCTATTTTTGTGCCAGTATTATAGCTGTACAGTTTGATTATAACTGTTTGGTAGTATGTATTGATATCTGTTATTATGATTCCCCCAGCTTTATTTTTGTTGTATAAGATTGCTGTATCTATTCAGGGTCTCTTATTTTTCTATATGAATTTTACTATTATTTTTTTCTAGATCTGAGAAGAATGTCATTGGTACTTTTGTTAGAATTGCATTGGATCTGTAGTAATGACATTTTAATTATATTAATTCTTCCAATCCAAAACATGGGAGACTTTTGCCTTTTTTGTGTCTTCCTCTATTTCTTTCTTTAATGTTTTTTTAATTTTCATTATAGAGTCTTTGACCTTCTTGGGTAAATGTATTCAAAGGAACTTAATTTTTTTCAGTAGCTATTGTGAATGGAATTGATCTTAGAAGTTTTTTCTCATGCATGGTATTGTATGTGTATACAAAGGTTATTGATTTTTGCATGTTACTTATGTTGTGCCACTTCACCAAACTTTTTGTAAGTGCTAATCATCTCTTAGTGGAATCTATTGGTTCCCTTATATATAAAGAGTCATGTCATCTACATCTTGTATGTTATCAAAAGCTTTCTCTGCACCTAATGAGATAACTATATGGTTTCTATTTTTTGGTTTGTTAATATGATGTATTCAGATTGATTTGTGAATGTTGAACCATTCTTGCATACCAGGGATAAATCCCACTTGGTCTGGGTGAATGATCTTTCTGATATTTTGTTAGATTCTGTTAATTAATATTTTATTGAGGATGTTTACATATATATTTATCAGGGATATTGGTGTAATATAGTTCTCTGTTATATGTTTTTCTGTTTTTGGAATGAAAATGATGCTGGCTTCATAGAAAGAATTTTGAGGGACATAGAAAACCTAAACAGCCCTATAAGCAAGACAGGAATTGAGTCAGTCATAAAGACCCTCACAACAAAGAAAAGCCCAGAACCAGGTATCTTCACTGCTGAATTCTACCAGACTTTCAAAGAACTAATTCCAGTTATTCTCAAGCTATTTAAAACAGTTGAAACTGAGGGAATCATCCCAAAGACTGTATTTCAAACATAAATTTCAAATAAAAATACTCTACTCACTACTATGAAGTAGACTTGTACACCTGTAGAATAAAATGTAGAGTAACTCCAGAGCAGTCAGGGCTGTATTCTGTACAGTGAGAGCTTAAGAATAAATGTTCTTGACTCAACTCACAGTTGATGCAACCAAGTTATAAAATGCTATATTTAGGACCAGATAATTTGTTTTATTGTGTTTTGACACATAGTAGATCCACTGATATAATCCTTTTATATGAGGTATGTAAATCATAATAAATCGGAATTTTTTCATACTGTGACTTTAAGAAGTAGGAGGTAGTATGTACCAATGCCATCTCACTAGTCCCAGTGATCAATTTCTGTTCACAGTTGATCATAATGATAGGACTAAGAACCAAATGGATCACATAAACAAGAATAGTGTCTGCAAATACTAGCTGATAGAATAAAAAAGCGAGAGAACGATCCAACATGGGAAGTGAGATACACAGCAGACCTATAGAATGGCAGATGTCCTAAACAGCACTCTGGCCTCAGAATCAGCCCTTTAGGCATGCGGATCCAGCTGAAATGCCCATGAGAGTATTTCAGGCATGGAAAGCCAAGACACTCTGCGGAAAAAAAAAAACCTAAATGAAAGATCTCCACGAGTGAGATCCCAGTGGAAAGAACAGGCCATGAAAGAAGGAGGTACCTTTCTCTGAAGGGAGGAGAGAACTTCCACTTTGACCATGGCCTTGTCTAAATATGATCACAGTCGGTGAACTCAGGGGGCTTCCATAGCCTTGGCAACTCATGGCAAGAGCCTAGGGTGATTACTGAGGCCATAAACTAGAGTGTCAATTTGTTAAGTCAACAACAGGAGTCACTGTGCACTTACTCCTCATGTAGGATCTTTGTCCTTAGTGTGCTGTACATTGAGATTTAATGCTATAACTAGTACTCAAACAGTATTTTTCACTTTATGTTTCTGTGTGGGAGCAAACTGTTGAAATCTTTACTTAATGTATGCTAAACTGATCTTCTGTATATAAAGAGAATTGAAAATGAACCTTGATGTGAATGGAAGGGGAGAGGGAGTGGGAAAGGGGAGGGTTGCGGGTGGGAGGGACGTTATGGGGGGGAAGCCATTGTAATCAATATTCTGTACTTTGGAAATTTATATTCGTTAAATAGAAGTGAAAAAAAAACTGAAAAAAAAAGAAAAAAAACACAAGTGCTTTCAAAATTTAAACTGTCTTGTTCCAATAAATAAAAATTTTAAAAGAAAAAAAAAAGAAGTAGGAATTGGCAAGCAGTAGAACCATAATCTTTTGCACTAGTTTTATTTCAAAAACAATTTGAAACATAATTGTTCAACACTTTATCTTTGCTTTTTTGTGCCTACTCTGCCTATGCCTTATCCTTAGGAGAACTGTAATTCATTGTTTGAATTTAGATGTCTCCCAATCATAGTGAATAATTGACTAAGGAATCTTATAATTATTATTTTATAGAACATTTTAAGTATTTTGTTATCGTGTTAACATTTTATTAACATGTCTCCCATATAATATCCCAGAATTTCAAGGTTATATTGTCTGTTTTCTTGAGTAGCTTCCAGTAATTGGAGCTAACCACACTAATAGATAGAAAAGCAGATGTATTTTATTTATTTGTTATTTCCATTTTAAATAGCTAATTAGAAACTAATGTATAACAAGAGTCTTAATATGAATTTGTAGTTGTCCTGTAATAATTTCCTTTTTATCAATTAGTGCCCATCTCTCATCTAAATACTTTAAGGGGTCTGACGTTACTGTATCAGTTACAGTCATATTTAGACAATGTAGCTTCCCAACTAAAATGTACTCTTAATATTTTTATCATTAAAAATATATACCTAAATATTTCCTGTCAACATGTAACAGTTTGTAAGCATATTTTCAGGCTGAGATCCAGATAGCAAGTTAATGAATTGGTAGTTATTGCAGAAAGTTAAGAGAATTCTCAGTATTAGAGACGCTGGGGAGGCGATTGTGGCGGCACAGAGGGTTAAGCAGATGTTCATGATGCCTGCTTCCTCTCTGGATGCCTGCTGATAGCCAGGCTGCTCCACTTCCAGTCCAGCTCCCTGCCAGTATTCCTGGGAAAATGTTAGAAAGTGGCCTAGGTGCTAGGGCCCCTGCCTCTCATGGGAGAGAACCAGATCAAGTTCTAGACTCCTGGCCTTAGCCAGGTCCAGTCCTGACTTTTGCAGCCATTTGAGCAGTAAACCAGCAAATGGAAGATCTCTGTCTCCACTCTGTAACTCTTTCAAATAAAGAAGCCTTTAAAAAGGTAAAGGTGGCTTTATTCTCAAGTATCAACACTTGGCGTTGAACTGCCTATGTAAAAATTGAAAAGCTTTTTCATGACTTTTAATTTTATCTACCTATCACACAACAGAGATTCCAATTTCTCTCCCTCCCTCTCTCTGTCTCTGTCTCTGTCTCTTTTGAATTCATTAGCCATAGTGGATGATTC